TATGATATGCAGTAATACCTTAGTTAACAAACACTTCTGTTTGCAAACAGTTTAGTTTACAGACAAAAGCATTTGGAAAAATTTTGTTTCTGTTTGCAAACTCTGTATCAAGTGGCAAACATGGGGCGGGGATTTAGCTCAGTGGCACCATGCCTGCTTCACAAGTGCAAGGTCCTGAGTTCAATACCCAGTACTAACAAAACAAAAGAAACAAATACTCAAACAAACAAAAAGTGGCAAACATGACCACAGCTGTCTTCCCCAAAATCGTAAAACAAATTAAGTTCATAAACCGAGTTACCACCGTATTATCTTTTTGATGATTTCTTGCATTCTCTTTGTCAGTATTTTTTTGAGGATTTTTATGTCTGTGTTTGCTAATTCTAGGAGCTTGGCCTGTAGTTCTTTTTTTTGCGGGGGGCGGGTGTCCTTGGCTGGTTTTAGAATCAGTGTAATGCTAGTTCAGGGTAATGACTTTGTAAGTATTCCTTCCCTTTCAATTTCATTAAAGAGCTTGAGGAATACTGCCTGCTTGCTGTTCTTGTAGAATTCAGCAGTGAAACTATTGGGTCTTGGAGTTTTCTTTGTTTGGTTTTTTTTGTTGTTGTTGTTGTTAACTGCTTCAATTTCATTGCCTGTTCAGGGTTTTTATATATTCTTTGTTCAATTTTTGTAATTAATTTCATTCTGGGAATCTTTCTTCTGGATTCTCCAATTTATTTGAGTATAGGATTTTTAAGGTAGTTACTAATAATCTAGATTTCAGCAGTTTGTTGTGATTCACCTTTTTCACTTTTTAAAAAAAGTTTTTTAATTCATTAAGTTTATTGGTACATTTTAGGTATGCAATATGATGACATTCATCATTTGGAATTTGTACCTTTACATGATATATCTTGGTTTTTAATATTTTCTCCATTCTCCTTCCTGCCCTTCAATTCCTCCACTCCTCCCTATTTACAAAGACTTTGTTTCCATTTTTTCCTTTTTTCCTATTTATTCCTTTCTCTTTTTTTCTTTACCCTACCTCTTCCACTTCCCCTTCCCCTTTGGACCTTTTCTTCCTATTTCACATTATCTATTATATATTTTGATCCTTATTTAAATTTTAGTTTCTCATGCATGCCAGAGCAACTATTTGGTATTTACACATCTGTGTCCTGTTTATTTCACTTAAGAGTATGGCTTCAGGGACAGGGGATTTAACCCAGTGGTTCCACTGCCTGCTGCACAAGTGCAAGGTCCTAAATTCCATCCCAGGGGGAAAAAAAAAAAAAAGTATGGCCTCAGTGTGCATACATTTAGCTATAAATATCTCTAGTTTCTCATTTTTTTCTTTTTGCAGTACCCAGGATCAAACATGGCCTTGTGCTTGTGAGGCAGGCGTGGCACCACTGAGCTAAGTTCCCCAGCTCTTAGTTTCTCATTCTTTATGGTTGAGTAGTACTCCACATTTTTTATCCATTCACCAGTTGATGGGCAATTGGGCTGTTTCCAAGTTTCAGGTATTAAAAACTCTCCTCCTATAAGCATGGGTACACATATATTGCTGTGGTATGATTTTTTTAATTATTTTGGGAGGATACCCTGCAGGGTATAGCTGGGTCAAATGGGACCTCTAATTCTAGCTTTTTGAGGTATCTTCATGTTGATTTCCACAGTGGTTGCACCAGTCTACACTCTCACCAACAGTGGAGAAGGGTTCCTTGTTTTCACACCTCCACCAGCATATGTTACTTGGTGATTTCTTGATAGCAGCCATTCTTTGTGGGTGAGGTAGAATCTTAGCATTATTTTCATTGTATCTCTCCTATAACCAGAGATGTTAAGCATTTTTTCATGTTTATTTGCTGTTTCTACTACTTTGAGACATGTCTATTCATTTCAGATGCCTATTTTTGAATTGGGTTTTTAATAAATTTGGGAAATCTGATTTTTCTAAGTCCTTTACATATTCTAGATAGTAGTCCTTTGTCTGAGGAACATCTGGTAAAAAATTTTTTCCACATTGTGGGTTTCTTGCTCTGCAGAAGCTTTTTAATAGGATGAGATCCCAGTTGTTGATTCTTTGTGCTAGTTAATGTGCAACTGAGGTTTTGTTCATGAAATATTTTCCTACACCAGTCTTCAAGAGTTCTAGCTGGCCTCTCTTCCAGCCAGTTGAGTGTTTCTGTTTCAATATTTAATTTTTTTTTTTTGTACCGGGGATCAAACTTGAGACCTTGAACTTGCAAGGCAAGTAATGGCACTACTGAGCGAAATCCCTGGCCCTACTATGTATATCTTTGATCCATTTTGATTTTAATTTAGTGCATGGTGAGAAATACAGGTTTAATTTTAATCTTTGGTAAGTTGAAACCCAATTTTTCAAGCACCATTTATTAAAGAGGCTATCTTTCCTTCACTGAGGGTGTTTGGCTCCTTTGTCAAAGACGAGGTGGTGGAGTATGTCTGAAGTTGTTTCTCCATCTACTAATCTGTTCCACTGATCCTTAATCTGTTTCTTTGCTAGTACCATGCTGTTTTATCACTGTAGCTTTGGTATAGTTTCAAGTTGGGAATTGTGATACTCTCTACCTTGTTGCTGTCGCCTAGAATTGCTTTTGCTATTCTAGATCTCTTCTTGTCCTGAATGAATTGAGATGGTTTTTGTTCTTGGCTCTATTTATACAGTGTATTACATTTATTTGCATATGTTGAACTATCCCTGCATCCCTGAATTGAATCCTACTTGGTCAGGGTGTATGATCTTCATGATCTTCTGCATTCTGTTTGCTAGTATCTTACTGAGCATTTTTTGCATCTATGTCCATTAGGGAGATTAGCCTGTAGCTCTCTTTTTTGGTTCAGTCTTTCTCTGCTTTTGGAATCAAGGTGATGCTTACCTCTAGGGATGAATTTGGGAGTATTTCTTCCCTTTCAGTTTCATTAAAGAGTTTAAACAATAGTGGCAATAGTTCTTCTCTAAATGTCTTGTAGAATTCAGCCATGAAGACATCAGGATCTGGGATTTTCTTCTTTGGTGAAGTTTTAAATTACATTTTTAATTTGATTGATTGATACTGGGTTTTTAGAATTTTGAGGTCTTCTTTGTTCAATTTTGTTAATTCATATGTATCTAGAAATCTGTCCATTTCTTGTGTTTTCCATTTTTTTGGTATATATAGGCCCTCAAAGTAGGTATTGATTTGGATTTTTGCAAGGTCTTCGTAATTTCACCCTTTTCATTCTTAATTGCATGGATTTGGGACTTTCCATTTTTTGGAAAGGGTGGCTAAGGGTTTGTCGATTTCATTCTTTTGAATAATCATCTTTTTGCTTCATTTTTTTGTATCATTCTCTTAGTGTTGATTGCATTGATTTATGCTGATCTTTGTAATTGCCTCCCTTGTATGAATTTTGTGTTTGTGCATATTTTTTTTTTTTTTTTGGTACAGGGGATCAAACTTGGGACTTTGCACGTCTGAGGCAGGCCAGCAGCAACCATTGAGCTAAATCCCCGGCCCACGAGTTTTGTGCTTGTTTTGCTCTTTTTATAGAAGCTTGAGGTTTAGCATTACGTTATTTGAACTTGCTTTGTTTTCCTAATATGAGTATTCACTGCTATGAATTTTCCTCATAAGACTGCTGTGTGTCCCATAAATTCTGATGTTATATTGGCATTGTCATTTAATTGTAGAAACTATGTAATTTCTTTAATTTCCTCTGTGACCCATTGGTTGTTCACGAGTGTGCTGTTTCATTTCCATGACTTTATGAAGTTCTTGTGGTTTCTTTTGCTATTGATCTCTAATTTCATTACACTATGATTTGGTAATATATAGGGGATAACTTCATTTCCTTTGTACTTAAACATGTTCTATGAACAAGCATATAGTCTATTTTGGAGAACGACCTGTGTGCAGCTGAAAAGAATATGTATTTGTAGTTTGTGGGGTGAAAGACTGTGTAAACATCTATTAAGTCCATTTGTTCAAGTTTGAGGTCTAGTATTTTGTTATTTTTTTACCTGATTGATCTCTTTGTGACTGTGGGGTATTGAGGTCCCCCAGTACTGTTGTATTAGTGCTTTCTTGATTTTTCATATCTGTTAATATTTGTTTTTTATAGTTAGGTGCACTAATATTTGGTGCATATATATTTATGATTGTCATTCTTTCCTCTGAGTTTATTTCCTTTACAAGGATGAAGTGGCTTTCTTTGTCTCTCTTAGTCTTTTTTATTTTTGTCTGCTTTAGAGTTATTAATTATGTCTTTTACTGTGGACACCATCTCTGTTGTTATCTGAGAAATGATTTCTGATTTTATTTTATTTTGGTACCAGGAATGGAACATCGGACCTTGCACTTGCGAGACAGGCGGCAGCCCCATTGAACTAAATCCCCAGCCCTCTGATTTTATTTTTTTTCAGATCCTCATTCTTTGCCAGTACAGGGAGTCCAGGTGATTGAGTTTCAGATTGTTCCATCTCATTGTCCCTTAAGAGTTTGCCTTTGGTGATCTGGAAGTTTGGTTTTCAGTCTTGCTTAGGTGTCTCCTCATTTCAGCCACTTCATGCTGCTGTGCCTTTATTGAAGTTATTCTGCTCACCCAGTGGGCTTCAATTCTCAACAAGTCTCACTACTGGTAATTATTCTGTAGATATATACCCTAGCTTTGAAAATGACAGTCTGTAAAATTGTTATAGGCAAGAAAAACTGCTGGGGATTTAGCTCAGTGGTTCTGCCGCCTGCCTCACAAGCACAAGAATCCGAGTTCAATCCCTGGTAATAACAACAACAACAAAAGAAAAAAAAAAAAGGCTGGGTACGTTGGTGCATACCTGTAATTCCAGCATTCCAGAGGCTGAGGAAGGAGGATCGCTTTGAGTTTGAGACCAGCCTGAGGTACATAGCGAGTTCCATGGCAGTCGGAACTACATAGTGAGATCCTGTCTCAAAAAAAAAAAAGAAAAGAAAAAAACAAAACAAACCCCCCCAAACCCCGAAAAACAAAAACAACAAAAAAGAAAAAAACATTGTTGAGCAAAGAGGTAAGCCATAATAAGTGACTAAAGCAAAACTATACAAAGAAGAAAAATGAGATGTAGGAAGAGATTTATTTATCGTATGTGATCTTTCTATGTGTGTGATGTTAGGGATTGAACTCAGGCCCTCACATATGGTAGCAATTTTCTACCATTGAGTTACACCCCCATCCCTGATCTGTTATTTTAAGGTTTTTGGGTATTTCAGAACCAAAGAAACAAAAGGGTAATCTTCCCTAAGATGTATAAATGGTTTACTTTTAATAAATATTTATTGATTTATAATGTAAATAAGAATAAACAAATACAGATTATTCCTGCAATGTAAGAAATGGCACATGTAAATGAGTACTCCAATACAAATAATTTGATTTATACTATATATAATTCTTCATCTTAGGATTTGCTACAGAACATCACCCTGGAATTCTATTTTTTTTTTTAAATCACCCAGAAGAATTAGATGATGATTGTGAAATAGGTTCTCCCATTATAATACTGTTTCTGTCACTTAGAGTTTTGATAACAGATGTAGCTGGAGACTGAAGCACTTTACGAGAAAGCCTCATTCTTCCATCAGCTGGATCACGTCCAAAGTATTTCACCTGTGTTAAAAAAATTTACTCTTTAAGTTACAGCACATTGATTGACATCCAGATTTAAGATATTTAAATTACATGTCCAAATAAGACAACAATTAATGTTTCTATTTTGTCACTGAAAGCACAGCTATGTGGAAGTATATGCTTAATACATATAATTTGGTTAAGTGATTACAAAAAGATGAAGCATTTAATTATCTATTATTATCTTCTGTTAACCCTATGCCATTTTGTTCTCTCGAAGTCCCTGCACTGGAAAGCCAATGAAAGCCACATTGAATGATTCTAGATAACAGCTCTCTTAACATAACTGTGTTACAGATCACACGGGGTTATACTTAGGTCACTAAGATCTTTTTCACCACTGCTCAAGGGACCAGCACACCAGAGTTTATTTGGTTTTACTGTGGAAGATGAAAGTTGAAGGAAATGTGGCAGGCTTAAAGTCTCTTCTGATGTAAAAAACAATCTTCTACAAGAGATAGGTTAATTCTCATGTTTTCCCAGAGGCTACTTGAACAATGGTACTACAGTTTGGGGAATAAGCTAGTAGCCTCAGTTATGCAGGTCACGGTATTAGGTGAAAATGGAACACAGTGGGGTACAGCTGAAAAATCCTACATCAACAATGACTTCTCTTTTTTTTTTGGTACTGGGGATTGAACTTGGGACCTTCAGCTTGCAAGGCTAGCAGCAACACTACTGAGCTAAATCCCTGGCCCAGCAATGACTTCTTTCATCCACTCATAAAGGACTACAAAAAAAGGTCAATTTTGTTATCAGAATGCTAGGCCTGAAGAGCATGGCTCTTAACAAGATCAAAAACTTTTAGTCTCAAGTAGTGGAGAAACAGTTTCAACTCGTCAAAGATGTCATTCAAGGTGTCCATCAAAATTATCGCAGTTCTCATTTGTCTGTCATCAAATCACTTGAATGTGCACAGCTAACATGCTCATGTATTTTTTAAAAGTTCTAAAGATGGCTGCTGTTAGGTAAACTGTACACTTGTTGAGGGAAAGAGTTATGTCCTAAATCCTTAATGAGTCTGTTTAAGCAACCTGAAGGTTAAAAAAGTCACTGAGCCAGGGATTTAGCTCAGTGGTTCCGCCGCCTGCCTCGCAAGCACAAGGTCCTGAGTTTGATCCCCAGTACCACAAACAAACAAGAGTCACTGCATATAAATAACACATATCATAGATGTTAATTCTAATCTTTCAACTTTCCTTTTGAAAATAAGTACACTTTACAACTTTAAAGCTAAAAAGTTCAACATAGATACCTGAATTTCTTGGCCAACTTCTAATCCTAGGGCAGTGGGATGTTTAATCTGAAAGAAAACATATTAATCTATTACCTTATAACCATGGAAGTTCGTGTTTTCCCAAGTAGACAAAGTTTTAGTGGTTTCCCAATCATAAAATCTGATAATTAGAAAAGTCTTTAGAGGAATGTAAAAATTATCTAAAACCACTCTACTTATAGATTATAACTGCTATCACTTCACTGAGTATCCCTTCAATTGTCTGTTGTTTCTGTATTGCATTTATAAAAATGGGCCTCTGCGTCTTTTTATATATCTTCTGATTTTCACTGTTATGTTCAGAATGTCTTTTCTCATTAATATATGAAACACTACAGCTGAGTTTTCAAACTATATAATTTGACCAATCCCTTTTACCTTAAATAGTTTAAATTATCAGTGTGGCAAATACATGACTAATGAATCTAGGTGAAAGGGATGAATGTTCAGAATGTTCGAAGTTCTTTGACCTTTTCTGTAGGTTTTCATTTTTTCAGAATAAAAAGTTGAGGTAAAATAAGTGTTGCACTGATCATTTATTCATCTATTCTAATTATACTCTCAATGAAACCATACACATAAAATTTTTACGATCACAGACATTTACTAAACAACTTTAAAAAAGTTTGTTCCAATTTGCATTCCTGTCAACAATGTATGAGAACATCTGTCTTTTCTCCTGCCCACACTGGAATTTTCATCTCAAAGGTAAAAGATCTTGTATGTATGTATGTATTTAGACAGTCTCTCTGTGTAGTTCAGGCTGTCCTTGAACTCTTAAAATAAAAACAAAACAAAATAATTGTCTTTCTTTTTTCCTCATTTTTCTTTTCTTTTCTTTTTTTTTTTTTTGCAGTAATGGAGATTGTACTCACTGAGCTCCAACCTTTCCCTTTTTTGAGGCAATGTTTAACAGCGTTAAACTGTCCCAACTGGGACTCAAACTTTCAATCCTTCCATTTTAGACTCCCGAAATGCTGGGATTACAAATGTGTACCACCAACTGTGGCTCTCATTTTTCTTATTAATCTATACACCTGCTATATATTAGGACCTTGTTAGGTGAGATAAGCATATTTTCCTTAGGTTGTTACTTATCTTTCACCATTGCTGTGATTTGTGCCATATAATTTAAAAAAGTGAAGTCAAATTCTATCAATTTATTTATGTTTTTGGCCTTGATATGATGCTGAAAAAGATTTTCCCAGCATTAAGATTACAGTGACACCTTGGTCATTGAACTCAATTTGTTCCAAATTCCTGTTTGGACAATGAAAAGTTCAAGAACTGAACATAATTTCTACATTAAAAAATAATGGAAAACCAAATAATTGCTTCTGGTGTCCCAAAATTACACCTATAAATTCATTTTTCCAAGACTTTAACACATTTCACAATGATTTCTTTCTTTAACTCTTATTTTCTCAGGGCCAGGGATTTAGCTCAGTGGTTTTCCCGAGTTCAATCTCTGGTACCAAAACAAAAAACAAAACAAAACAAAACAAAAAAACAAAAAAACTCAACCAACCAAACAAAAAACTCTGTTGTTCTCAAAATTTCCCTCTTAGCTTTACTGCTGGTATCATGAGCTTTCTTTCAAGCCATGGTTCTGATCTTTTATGCATAGCACACACACTCAAAAACACAATAAATGTTTTAACACACTAATACAAGAAGTATATGTTGTCTATACAAGAGCAGCACTTAGACTGACATGTCACCCTTTGTGTCTGCTTTGAGATGTGATGTGAGACTCACTCTTGGCTCATACAGGTGTTTTCAAGTTGGATTTTCAATTCAAAGTTACAAACAATGTTACAAACAATGAGCAGATTTTTTTAACTTTGCTGTTCCAGTCATGGAAAGTTTGAGCTTGGAGGTGTTCAACAACTGAGTTATCACTATATTAAAATATCCATAATTTCTTTTAGTGCCCCACCCCAAGATTTTCTTTTTTCTACTATTTTCTTTTAAAATTTAGATCTTTAGATAAGATTTTGGTATAAAAATTAATGGAGATACTACTTTATGAATACCAATTACACTAGTGATTTGTTGAATAGTTTCTATTTCTTCACTAGTGAAAATGCAATTTTTAATTTACAGTCCCATCTATACAACTAGGTTTATTTCTGGTCTCTTTTTCATTGTGTACAATACTTATTTTGGGATCACTAATACACTATTTTTTGTTTTTTTGTCTTTTTTTTTCCAGTATCAGGAATCAAATTCAGGACCTTGTGCTTATGAGGTAGGCACAGTGCCACTGTGCTAAATCCCTGGCCCCTGTTTTATTCTTTATAAATTTATATTCTAATATACAAGGAATGATAAAAATACTATAAATGTTTAAATTTTAAAACATTACAGTGAAGATACTGTGTGTCTTTATGTTCCTGTGGCTGCCTTCATATCCTGAATTAATTCAAAATGGTTATCTTTCATGGTGATTTTGCCTTTGGGGAAGAGCCAGATTGGGATGAGAATACACAGTAATGTTTTTCCATGGGATGGCACTGAAGAGCAGCATCTACTGCATTTTTAAATATATCTCATTAAGACACTCAAGAAATAGGACTCCCAAAATGACTTCAGAAAGTGGCAAGAACAATGGGATAAGTGTATTTGAAGCTAGGGGGTGTATTTTGAGGGGAATTAATAGCCGTGTATCTTTCACTGTAAAAATTTTGTTTTGTTTTGTTTTGTTTTTTTGAGACAGGGTCTCACTATGTAGTTGAGACTGACCTGGAACTCACTAGGTAGCCCAGGCTGGTCTCAAACTCACAGCGATTCTCCTGCCTCAGCCTCCCGAGTGCTGAGATTACAGGTGTGCGCCACTACACCCGGCTGTAATAAGTTTTTGAGATAGCGTCTTGCTACGTAGTTCAGGCTGGCCTTCAACTCACTATGTAGTTCAGGCTGGTCTCAAACTTGTGAAGATTCTCCTGCCTCAGTCTCTGAAGTACTAGGAATACAGACATGCATCCCCACACCTGGCTACGGTAACAAATTTTTAAAATTTAAACATCCATTATGCATTTTGATTACCCTATCTATAGAAAAACTGCTATTCCTAATGTCCTGCTTCCCACAATTTTGTCAAATAGACTTACGTTCTTAGTTTTCCAGGTGTCTGAACTACAGTAAAGATTAGATAAAGTTAAAAATATTCTGCGAATTATCCTGCTCTGATTGCTTGTTCAGTACAAAACCGGGAAAACAGAGCTACTGTATTTCACTGAAAATAAGACCTACGTAACTGTACAATAAGCCCTAGCATGATTTTTCAGGATTTTTGTAATATAAGCCCTACACATAAACCCCAGTTAAGATAAACTGTCGGAGGGATACATTTAGTATGTGTGTTTTAACATGACAGGTATAATGAATTATAAAATAATATAAATATGTAGTGTAAATAATATATTGACATTAATACTTATTTTCATTAAGTTTATTGGAACTTTTCAGGTATACAGTACAGTTACATTCATCATTCGGATCTTGTACTTTTACATGACAGATCTTGGTTCTCATTTTTCCCCCATACCTCTGTACATGATGTGTCTTGGTTTATTTTTTCTCCATACCCTTGCCCTCCCTTCAACCTCTCCACCCTTCCCTATTTTCAAAGACTTTGTTTCTATTTCTTACATGTTTTCTTTTCCCATCTCTCCTTTCTCCTATCCTTCCCACTTCCCCTACTCCTTTAGCCCTTTTCTTCCTATTTCACATTATCAATTACACAATCTGAACCTTATTTACACTTTTACTTTTTCACACTAAAGAAACTATTCGGTATTTACACATGTGTTCTATTTATTTCAGTTAAGAGTATGGCCTCCATATGCATCCATAGCTGACATTAATACTTAAATGATGATATAAATTACAATTAAGTATGTATAAATACCCAAGTAGGTGTCTTTGGAGAATTGGTAAACACCAGTATAAATAGATGAACTTGAGATGTAATGCCAAATGACCAATGGGAGTACACAAATCATGAATAACATGTGCACTTGATAATGAATGTACCTGGTTGTATCTAATATGAATCTTCAAAATTCAATACAGTAAGTCTCTGACTTACATTTGAGCTGCAAAATTTCACAGGAATACTCTGTAAGACTCACTTTGTCACCTTACAAATGAATCAGACTTATGAACATTCTCCTGGAATAGAACTTATTTGTAAATCAGGGACTTTATATAGATTATTATACATGAAAAAAGACATACCCTGAAAATAAGTCCTGTGTCTTTTGGAGCAAAAATTAATATAAGACCTGGTCTTATTTTCAGGGAAGCACATATTTTTAGTAGCTCTCATGTGCTAGCTGTAGATATTACTTTACCTTAAAACATTTAGAAGGAAAAACATAAATTATCTATGGAAAATAATGTAAAATCTTTTGCAGGCTACAGTATCTCTGCCATTTTTGTTTTCTGTTATTTTGTTTTTGGGGTTTTTCCTTTTTTGAGACAGGGTCTCCCTACGTAGCTCAGGCTGGCCTTGAGCTCACTATGTAGTTCAGGTCTCCAACCCCTTGCAATTCTCCTGCCTCTCCCTCCCAAGTAGGCATGCACCACCATGCCCAACTCTGCCATTTTTGTTTTCTGTAATCAAATTGATAATATAAAAAGTGCCCAATTCTCACCAGTGAAGATAATTTCAATGTGGTTATTTTTATAGAGTTATAAATTAAATTTTTGTTTCTTTTTACCTTTCGTTGATCAAGTTGTGTGTTATGAAGTAGTACTGCAGTCATATTTGGGTAGAGTTTTACCATTACTCCAGTGTCTCTACAAGAAGTAGGTAGGTCTGGTTAAAGCAATGAATATATCCACTGACAAGTAAAAGTGATTGTTTATATATTCTTATAATTCAGAAAATTATGATTACCTAAAACAGATAACTTACTTTTCAATAAAAAAATTCCTATATTTTAATACATGTGAATCAAATGACAGAGACAAAGGAAAAGCTTTTAGAATATGTGTGTACTCACTTATATTTCTCCCATCCAAGTACTAACCAGGTCTGACCCTGCTTAGCTTCAGAGATCAGATGAGATTGGGCGCATTCAGGGTGGTATGGATATAGACTCACTTATATTTCTGTTTATATTTTCTAAAAATGTTTGAAATGGCATGAAAAAAAAAATTTTTTTTTGATGCAGTATCTTATTAACTAGTTTAGGCTAGACTTGAAGTTACTTTGTCACCCAGGCTGGCCTCCAAATCTCTATCCTTTTATCTCAGCCTTATAGGTGCTGGGGTTACAGGTGTATGCCTGCCACCATGCCCAGTTTAAATATGTTTAAAATGGAAAAATCAATTAATAACATTCTCTTTTTTATAGTACACTAAAAAAAGATACTGTTCTTATTTTTCAATATTTGCAATATGAAATAAATCATCCCACTTCCTTTTATTATTCATTTTAAATATCTGACTATTCCTAATATTCTAGCTCTGGTAATATTTTCTTTAAAAAAATTGCATCTTTTAAAAAAAATGAGATTTTCTGATTATTGTAGCTGGTTAAAGAAATGCTTTGAGGTCATACCCAGCATATTAAAACATCTGCTAATTAAACAATAAGTACAATGCAGCTGTAACAGTGACTAAAAGGAAGTACTGCTTTGTGTGTTTTGGGTCTGTTTAATAGCAATAAAACAGTAGAAATTTTGGTGAAAGAAAACAGTTCAGTGGGAACAGAATATTAAAATTAAAAAAAGCATAGAACCACGTTGTTGAAAAATCTACAAACTGGCAAAGAAAATAAAAACTACTACACCTTATAAAATAATAACTATCATAATTACCATATAAAAGCCTCATGACTTCAAAGTACATAAAACAAGTATGAAGTTAATGGGCTTGTAATAATTTAAAAACCACCTTAATATATGACTTGATATTACCTGATTTCAGTTATTGTGGCAGTATAAACAGCTCCAAATTCTAATTGGTGTTCTTGCTGTAAGTGCAAAATAAGCCATTAAGATTTATAAAGAAAACAAAAAAATAGAAAAAAACAAGTACATAAAATCCATACTTACATCATCTTTACAGATTTCAGTGATGAATTCTCTTGCCTCATGCATTGCACAGGGTGTTGGTGCAAACACAGAATATGTTTCTTCATCTACTTGACTAATAGTTACACCTTTGAAAAAGATAATTTAACCCCCAAAAAAGAAAAGAAAAAAGGTAATTTAACACATTAAATTTAACTTGCTCATTTAAAAATTGAATGTGAGAATGGGGAGGGACCCAGAAGCAGGTGGGCAGGGTTTTCTGTGTTTAATCATTACTTTAGGAATGAAGGGATTCATTCACCAGTAGGTGCACACCTGCTTTGTATCTGGCACTGACTAGGACCTGGGGATAAACAGTGCAGCAACATTCTAGAATGTCAGTGCTGATTTTTGAGGCTCTGGCTTTGCTCTTAATCATGACTAGAAACTATAGTACACTACTTTTCTCATTCTTTTGGTTTCTCTTACCTTAGAGTGAATAGATGAATGAGGAACAAAATCACATCAGATTTTCATTCTTAGTAACTAGTTAAGTTCACTGTCCACCTTCAATAACCTCATAGTTGCTATGTACTATAT